GTAGTATATGTTTAGTAAATCTACGTTATATGCACAGTATATGTTCACGACAACATATGTTGACATATGTTGCGTGTATGCATGCAATATATGTTGCAGGCAGGCTGTACATGTGGTGTGTATAAGGAGTATATGTTCAATATATTAGAAGGTTTTTTTGTAAACTGTTCAGTTTATGTTGTGTGTATATAGAGTACATGTTCAGTATATTAGAAGATTTGTTTGTAGAGGGAATATAAGTAACCTGTTATAATATGTTTATAAACTATATATATACTTTTATGTATAAAAAAAAAGACATAATTTTTTATGGAATTCATGTTTTTCATTGCAACATATACTGAATATATACTAACATAAACGCAACATATACCCAACTGGACAGCTGCGTGAATTACAATACATATTTTTATCTCTCTATATTTTTCTGTTAACATCGCGTAAATCACGCCCAAGATATGGAATAGATGATGTTTACAATGGGTAACTGATTTTTAGGCATTGACGTAATTATTTTTGGTCTATTGGGTATATACCAAATTATTTGTTATTGAATGGTAAATTCGATTTTTTTTTTTAATTTCGTGTCGTATGTACAAAAATTTCCCTTTAATCTATACATATATAATAAGAATTACTATTTACCAAAAATAGTAACCAAAAAATTTGGCAACATTAATTGCATACCATTTCGGGCAAATTTTATTTTTATTTTTATTTTTTATTTATTAAATGAGAAATATTTAAATATGCCTTCAATCATGGATACTTAGTTTTGGTAACCAAATTGCTCAATTTTGGTACAAATAATGTTTTTAAAAATTTGAGTTTTATTTCAATACCAATCATTTTTAAAATTCATTGATATCAATATTCATTAATTTGAGCAAAAAACACTTGCAAGTTCACAACCCATAATAATTGTGTGCAATTCATCAAAATCAATGATATCACATAATTAATTATCAGATTTGTATGTTTTCAGCCGAGTTGAGTTTTAAAAGAAAAAAAATCATTTGGACGCCAAAAATTGTGTAACAAAATAATTTTGCCGATAAAAAAAAAAGACAAATCTACCAATACACACTCAAATTCTAAGAGTTCTTTTGACTAGTCGTAAACACCCAAAAAATCCGAACATAAAAATACAAAAATCGAATATAAAACCTTAAAATTAAAAAGTCCATATTTCCTTTTCGGGCAAAACAACTAAAATTATCAAAATGTACCGGTGCACACTCAAATTCGAAGGATTCTTTTGATTAATTGTAAAAACCAAAAAAATCAAACATAAAATTACAAAAATCAAAAATAAAAACCCTCAAACTGAACAATCCATATTTTGTATCGTGCAAAACACCTAAAACTAATTTAAAGCATCGATTAAATGAAAACTAAAAAAGAATATGTATTTATAAGACCCTCAGTGTTAGAACGCAAAAGTTGGAAGAAGATCGATGAAAAAAGACGAAAGAAGAAACTGGAAGCGGCGAAAAATGAAGGAAGAAATGAAGTCTTTGGTCTGATAATTTCACTATTTATACTATGTTCAGTTTAATCTAAATCGTCGATTTGCGTTGACTAATCTGAATCATTAGATTATTTTTTCTGATTTGTGTTGGGCCGATATGAACTTTCGAAGCCAACATTGTAAATTGGGCCGATATGAACTTTTTGAAGCCCACATTTTACAAAAACATTCATGTTTTACAAGTCCAACATGATTAATATAAATAATTACGCGTATCTTATAATAAGTATTTATTAGGTTTAGTTATAATCAATGATCGGTGCTTTAGTATATAATTTGAATTTAAATACAAAATTGCCGTTTAAAAAAGACAGAAATAATAAAGTCCCGTGCATCGCACGGGTACTGTACTAGTTATTGGATTAGTGGATTTAGACAAATTAGTGGAGTTGTAGAGAATAGATAGAGATGGTAGAAACAGAATATCCAAATTGTTCTTCACTCTCACGTGTTCTTGAAAGAATTACCCTGTACACCATTCCGTTCCTTTTTATTTCCCAAATGACGAGAATAAAAACTTCATTCCACTTCAATATTAACGGGTTCACAATTACGAAATTATATCATCCTGATTTCATCCGCCGCCTCACTCCTGTTCCCCCTTTTCTTTTTCTTTCTCCATAATTTGTCTCTTTCTGCTTTCCTATTTCTTTCTACTTCAATTGGAATAAGACGACGCAATTACCCCTTCCCTCAATCGACGGCGGCGAATTGATTCGATGGCCCATGGGTGGCTGAACAAGGGTTCGACAGTTGGATTACGAGTAGGGCTGAAAGGGCATCGATGGGTTCTCCTTAGAGGGGCATCGAGCCGAGGGTTTCGACGAGAGGTTGAGCGGCAAGGTCGGTGGTACATGGCTCTCGGACTGGCATTGTTGCTGATTCTGCGATTTTGGTAGGTTTAATTATATGATTTTCGTGCAGCTTTAGCTTAATAAAAAAAAACTCAACAGAGTTGTGTGAAATATGAAATGAATAATATGTTCGTGTGGTTCTATTACAGTATGATCCATGATAAATTCTTTGATGATTAATTTAATTTATATTTTCAAAATTCTGTTTGATTACCCTTGTGGCATTTGATCCATCATCCCATACAGGTTTATCGAATGAAATTCTCTTTTGATTGTATGGTTATTATATATTTTTTTTTATTTCACTGTTTGATTTGTTATTGTTTGAGGGACTTGTGAAGAACTGGTGCTTATGGTTTGATTTATCTTTAGCTGGTTGTATGTGGTGTTCTCAATGCTTGTTTGTTTAGAAGAATTTTATGAATGTGTTAATACTTTCTTTCGTTTCATGCATCTTAGTGTTCTGGGTTATGGAAGCGTAATTTCTGAAACCTCCTTTTGAGTGCTGATGTAGTTTCTTAAATCCGTGTGCTTGTGATCTTGGTTCTAATGTGTTGTGAGTTATTATTTGGTTGCAACTGATAAAAACTGTCAAATATGGAGTTTGGTAATTGTTAATTGTTATATAGCACAATCACTCGAGTTCCTAGGATTGGTTGGGGACAATTGGTACCTTTGTGTAAAATTCATCAGCTACATTTGTGATTAGTTTAGAAATGATGCAATTGAAATGAGAAGTTAACTGTGAAGTGCTCTTTTAATTATGCAATAATCCTTGGGTTTGTCCTTTGTTTTTCTCCTTAGGCATTTAAAAGTAATGGAAATTGCTAGTTTTATACATTTTATGTTCTGCTTATTTGTGAATTTGCGTTTTTGGTTAAGGCGTTGAGGATTTCTACTTGAAGATTGACAGCTTCTGCATAGACGCATTGAAACATTGGGATAGGCCTATTGATTTCGAGACTGATTGGAAAGAAAATCGATTCCGACTTCGGACTTGACCTTTTTTTTTTTTCGGTTTATTGTAGTTTTTATTTACAGATGGTTTGTGTAGAATCAGCCTTATGGAGAAAATATTTTTCAAATGTTTGATATAATTATTTTGTGGAAGAATTATGTGTTTAATTGATGTTACAACTGGACAAAAGAGCAGTTGTTTTTTGGTTGGTTAATTCATGTAGATTTTGTTTTGAATATTTCTTATGGTTATTTTTATTGATGGTTTTTGTTTCATTTTATTTGTAGCTATGTTGTATTTTATATTTTAGTTGTTCATTACTTTTGTGAGTGAATGATTCGTTTTTGTGTATATAAAGTATTAATTTTATAACTATAATAAACTAAAATTATACTATATATAAATTTTTCTTGTATAATGAACTGAAAAAAAAACTATATATAAATTCAAATTTACTTGTATTCTTGTTATGGTTTATAAATCTATAATAAACTAAAAATAAATTAGATATAAATTTATAGTAGAAAATCTTGTTTATATACCCAAGATAAACTTATAATAAACTAAAAATAAATTAGATATAAATTTATAGTAGTTATATACTCAAGATAAACTTATAATAAACTAAAAATAAATTAGATATAAATTTATAGTAGAAAATCTTGTTTATATACCCAAGATAAATTTATAATAAACTAAAAATAAATTAGATATAAATTTATAGTAGAAAATCTTGTTTATATACCTACGATAAATTTATAATAAACTAAAAATAAATTAGATATAAATTTATAGTAATTATATACCCAAGATAAATTTATAATAAACTAAATATAAATTAGATATAAACTTATGGTAGAAAATAAACTTATAACTATAATGAACTGCAAATAAACCATATATAAACTGAAAATTTTTCTTGTATAATAAACTGATTTTTTCTTATATAATAAACTTAAAATAAACTAGTTTAACTAATTTATTATAATAAACTGAAAAATAAACTATATATAATTTTTCTTTTTTTCTCTTCTCTGTATTATTTAACAAGTTTGGTATGTTACATGTTTATGTCTATTTATATTATGTAAATAGTTTGGTATAAAAAATGTTATGATTGTTATTTAACTAATTATAAACTTAAAATAAACTCAACTTTTGATAACTAAGTTCTTGCAACCGTCTTTTTTTTCTGCACCTTTCCTTGATTAGACAGAGTTGTGGTATGGATTGGATTAGGGGATTAAAGAGTTATTGCGCTACAGATTTACTTCCTATTTTATTAAAAGAAACGTATTCAAGGAATTCATAAAGTTTGTTTTGACAAATGTGTGACAAGTTTTTCGATCTCGTTTTTGTGGAATTGATACTTAATGGAGACGGATACGTGTACTTTATTAATAACTAAAAGTGGATCCAAATAACTTGGGCCGAATAACGATAAAGCAAACTAGGCCCAATTCACCACAACACTCAGTAGGGCTAAAGAGAATTTGACTTCCACTTGTTATCTTCACATCAGCCCGTAGACCAACCTTCCCAACTTCTCGTTTTCTTTTGACATCTCCGGCGAGCAACCCTAGATCCGCCTCGTCCTCCCCAGATTACTTCCCTTTCCTTCTCCATCCCACTTGCAGAAGTCCGAACATTAGACTTCATGACAGAAGTCAGGCATGGAAGGGAAAGGAAGAGAGAAAAGGATGATGAAAGCCGTGAAAAGTCGAGTACAAGAAGGGAAGAGAGGAATAGGGATTCTGAAAGAGACGACAGGAGCAGGATAAACGTAAGAGAAGATGAGAATGATAAAAATGGACATGAAGCGAGGAAGGATGATAGTGATAGAGGAAAATTACGCCCTGAGGATTCGGATAGGGAGGGCAGCCGAAGGAACAGGGAATACCGCGATGATAGTAGGATCCGGCAAAAGGAAAAGTATAGAAGCCGGAAAAGTGACCTAGCCCGTGAAACTGAAGAAGGTGAAGGGGAATACAGAAGACGGGAGGATCGTCGTAGCAGGTATAATGATATGGAAGATGACAGGAATGATCGTCGTAGCAGGTATAATGATAGGGAAGATGATAGGAATGATAGGGAAGATGACAGGGAAGAGAGGAAAAGGGACAGAAACCGAGAAAGAGGTAAAAGAAGAAGTGAGAAGGATGAGAGTAAGAATGGGTCAGGTAAGAAAGGAGAGGAGAGTGAAAATAATGTGCCAGTTGATGCAATAGCCAATATGGGGAGAAGTGGTGGAGTCTACATTCCGCCTTTCAAGCTGGCAAGAATGATGGGGGATATCCAGGACAAAAGTAGCCTCGATTATCAGAGGATGACATGGGATGCATTGAAGAAGAGTATTAACGGGCTTGTGAACAAAGTGAACGCCACTAATCTAAAGAATATAATTCCTGAGCTTTTTGCTGAGAATCTGATTCGTGGGAGGGGTCTGTTCTGTCAGTCGTGCATGAAGTCCCAGTTGGCTTCTCCGGGTTTCACAGACGTGTTTGCAGCCTTGGTTGCTGTGGTGAACACTAAGTTCCCAGAGGTTGGTGATCTTTTGCTGCGGAGGATAATTGAGCAACTCCAGAAGTCGTACAAGCGTAATGATAAGCCGAGATTACTTGCTGTGGTCAAATTTATTGCACACCTGGTGAACCAGCAGGTGGTGCACGAGCTTATTGCCCTTGAGCTACTGACATTGCTGCTGGAAAAGCCGACTGATGATAGTGTTGAGGTTGCTGTGGGTTTTGTGACCGAATGTGGGTCCTTGCTTCAAGATCTCTCTCCTCGAGGATTGCATGGTGAGTACAGATTTTATTTGGACTGCCTCCCATTTTATTTTGATGTGGTCTTAATTGTTAGATGAATTTTGAAATGGACAAAACATTGTTTCTGTGTATACGAGTTCTTGATTTTTATTGCAAGTTTGAGAATAACATGATTACTTCATTTGTTTGCATTAGGCATTCTAAATTTTTTATGTAGAAGCTATACTCATAGACAACTCTTTGATGGCTTCCTGGTTAATGTTCTGTTTCTATGGGAGACTTCGGGCGTTGCTGTATGTTTGGGTTTCATCTTTTCTTTTCTGCTTCATGGAGCAGTGTTTATGTTATATGGCCATTTTTAACTTATTTCCATGTTCTTTCTCGAATTTGTAACATGCACATCTTATATTTCCTCATTTTTTTATCCTCTTTCAAAAAGATCTCCGATGAGATTGTCAAAGCTCAGTTACACCCTTCCAATATTTTGCATACACTTTGTAGGAATAGTATGTTTTGCATTGAAAAATCTTATTTTCACTTGGAAATATATTTACGCGTTCAACCATTTTATTTTTGCCCTTTAATTTGTAATTGCCATTTGCCCTTTAATTTGTAATTGCCATAAACCTAAAATGACATTATATGCTACATTGGAATCTAAAGGTGGGGGCACTAATCATGCTATTATATGTATCTAGCTGTCCATAAACCAAATTACAGGGAAACTAGTGATGGGAATTCTTGCTGTATTCTGTTTTTCTTTGCTGGATGGAGAACATTTTTGCAATTTTGGCCAGTGTTTCTCCTTGTTTGCTGTTATTGATTACCTATTTACATTCCTATTAGTACCACCACCATAACTTGAAACCTAAACATTGTATCTGTGGTTCATTATTCCCGTAATACTGTAATACACAACTAGCATATACTTACACATACACGTGCGTGTGTGCCTGCTTGCAGACATGCGATGGATACATGTTTATCTGTGGGTTAAATGCTGCCCTAAGTTCTGCATTTCTTTCTTTTATATAATTATGAACTGCTGAATCTGTTTTATGTGACATTTTTGGTTTCCAACTCTACAGGTATCTTTGAGCGGTTCCGTGGAATTCTTCATGAAGGAGAAATCGATAAGCGCGTTCAGTTCTTAATCGAAGGGCTCTTTGCATTGAGGAAAGCGAAGTTTCAGGTGAGGTCCCACCTTCAATGGTAATACTGAGAAGTACAGTGTACAGATCTGCATATATCATTATATCTTATGCGCACATCAATTTGATGCCTGATTCAAACTTTTCTATGGATTTCACCTGATTCAGGGTTATCCAGCTGTCCGCCCTGAACTCGATTTAGTCGAACAGGAAGACCAATTGACTCACGAAGTGTCGCTTCTGGACGAGATTGATTCAGAGACCTCATTAAGTATGTATCTTTTGCCTCACTTTGTCTTCTCCGCTCACTTTCGTCTTCAATAATTGCTATCTTTGTTTCTTTTCAGATCTCTTCAAGCCCGATCCTCACTTCTTGGAGAATGAAAAACGGTATGAAGAGCTGAAGAAGCAGATTCTAGGTGAAGAATCTGAGGACAATGCTGAATCAGATAATGATGCTGATTCGGATGATGAAGATGATGAAGAGTCTGAGGAAGAGGATGAGGAACAGATGAAGATAAAGGATGAGACAGAGACGAATTTGATCAATCTCCGAAGAACTATCTACTTGACTATTATGTCTAGTGTTGATTTTGAAGAGGCTGGGCACAAGTTATTGAAAATCAAGCTGGAGCCTGGCCAGGAGGTGAGTGTATATTTTATTTTCTTTGGGTGGAATATATGTTTCCAATCTATTGATGATGGTTTGTTCTAGGGATTCCGTGCATTGTGGTACATGGGGTAAGAATTAATGTTCCATTAAGTTTTGCGTGCAGTATGTGCTGTTCTTTTTCTTCATTGATGGGTGAGTTACCCTGGTTGTTGTCCTATGTTCTTTTTCAGAAAAAAGCAGACCTGAAACCTCACTTTTAGCTACAAGTATCATGTTTGCATGACATGGTCTACATAAATCTATATGGCCCCTTTAAGTGTAAATAAAGTTTTCCTCATTTTTGCTTACATTTTAAGATGATGCAGATATTTTTCTAATCAGTTGTGGATTTGTGGTCAAGCTTTTGTTTCAGATTACAAACTTTTATAATTGTGAAGTTAGATTTTTGTTTTCTGAGTGTATATCTGAATTACATGCAGGGGTAAATAGATGAGTCATTAAATGTTATTCATTTTAGTTAATTATAACTTCAAAGTTTACTTCTTGTAGTCACTTAGTGTATATTTTAATAAAATTCTGGTGATTGATTTTCATCCTGTGTAGATGGAATTGTGCATTATGCTTTTGGAGTGTTGCAGCCAGGAGAGAACCTACCTCCGATACTATGGACTCCTGGGGCAACGGTTCTGTATGATAAACAAGGTTCATCAGGAGAACTTCGAGAAAAGCTTTGTTCAGCAGTACTCTATGATTCATCGACTGGAGACCAATAAACTTCGGAATGTTGCAAAATTCTTTGCTCATTTACTTGGCACAGATGCATTGCCTTGGCACGTCTTAGCCTATATAAGGCTGACCGAAGAGGACACGACTTCTTCTTCCCGTATTTTCATTAAGATTCTCTTCCAGGTTCCCGATTAGTATTTTTACTCTCTTAAATTTCTCCATTTACCATCTAGTATTATCTAAAATTGTTGGGTTTTTCTTGTCAATTCTTTTATCTCTTATTGTTGTGTGCATCTCGATGATGTTTCCTCTTATTCTCATCTCTCATAATTGCTAAAAAACTGAAATATCATCTTATTTGTTGAAGGAATTATCCGAGCACCTTGGGATCCGCTTGCTGAACGAGCGCCTGAATGACCCAGCTATGCAAGACTCATTCGAGTCCATCTTCCCCAAGGATACCCCTAAGAACACGAGATTCGCAATTAATTTTTTCACATCCATAGGGCTTGGTGGGATCACGGAGAACATGCGAGAGTATCTAAAGAACATGCCGCGCCTCATAATGCAACAGAATAGGGACGTGCCAGAGCAGGATTCAGATTCTGATAGTGATGGTTCGGATTCAGATAAATCAGGATCTGGGTCAGGGTCGTCTAGCTCCGGGTCAAGTGAGAGTGAAAGCGAGACTGATAGTGAAGATCGGCGTAAAAGGAAGAAGAGGAGAAACTAAAGGCGAATTACGATAGTCTTGATACATGTTTTGCTCTTTATTGTTTTTGTTGTGATATTACTGGAAGAGTAGTAACTGAGGTAATCATGTTCTTTGTTATGCTGGAACTTGACGAATACTGCACCCCCTGAGATATTGGCTTTGCTTGATCAAGAGTTGTGTTAAATATATATGTGTGTTTTATGTGTGTTTCAAATAACTGGAGAGAAGTTGACGTAACTTGGAAAAGAAAATGTACGAGATATACGCCCACTGCACTTGGAGGATACAAGGTTGGGTACCTTAGAATAAAAACTTTCTTCCTCTTCCTTGTAGACATATATTTAGGGTCGGTTTGGTTGGGCATATTAAGAGTGATATCAGCTAATTTAATATACTATCAAAACGTTTAACATGTTTTGTTTGGAACTTCAAAGCTCTGGAAATTGCTATTGGCCTGGTCAATTATCCGTTAAATTATTATTATCTCATACTACCAATTTAATTGGATACAGTATCCTTCTACTTCATTTAATGCCCTCATCTCTGTCAACCCGACACTCGCCCGCTAGAGAGCCATTGGAGGCAACGACGAAATGGAATCTTGCCTATCTAGGAGATGTCGTCGTCTTTACGGGTCAATATGTGGATGAATCTCCGAATTTTGCCTATCAAGGAGATGTCGTCGTCTTTACGAGTCCATATGTGGATGAATCTCCAACGAATTTGTGGTGTTTATGAGATTTTTCAGCAGATCCCTGTCGAAGTCGGGTCGACCAACTGGTTTTGGCCCGATTTGAGTGCTCATCTGGGAACAAGTTTACCTGCCTGAGATGACGATTGTGGATCGAGCCCGGTCGAGTGCAGCCAGTCCAGAGCGGTCCCATCAGCCTCTCTCGTCGAGTTCACCCTCGTGAGAAAAAACAAACTGCACACTTTATCTTTTTTCATTTGGTATTTCCAGTGGATCTGTGGTTGATGAATCTCTAGCAGTTTGTGGGATTTTTGGTGGATCTGTGTTGGGGCAATTTCTCGAGGTCAAGAGCTTGACAATGGTTGATGGATGTTTCATTGCTTCTTGGATCTTAAAATACGTTTTTTGAAGGCACAACTATTTGTGGATCATAGGCTCACATCAACATCTGAGTTGCAGCTTCTATGTTCATAGTTAATTTTTGAGAATTACCTTTGTTCATAAATTAATTTTGAAAACTCCTTGTTGTGAATTTTGGGAGTTGCCTCTGTTCATGATTGAATATTGAATATTAAAACTCATATTTGTGTTGAGCCCAAAAAATAACCAAACAAGTTAATGAAATGGATCAAATGCATAACCTAGGTAAACAAAATTGGATAGTATCAAGCCCAATAACAAAATGTAACCAAACGGACCCTTAGTATACAAGAAGTGTTGCATATGTCAGAATAATAATAAAAATGTATATATATATATGAGTATATAAGCTAAAAAACTCTTACTTAAGAATACTAGTTAAAATAATAACCGTTCTCACCAGAAGTTTTCCATGTGCCAAATAATAAAAATAATAGCAGTTGTCAACAACTCAAATTTAAGTCAACCCCAAACATCCTCAATATTATCAATATAATTAAATAATATCAATCAATCTTCCTCACATATCACATCAATTATAAATCACTCGCATAATTTTAACTAATCATCACTTCCAATCACTATTTTTATATTTTTACATTAAATCAACTTTAATTATTTCATTTTAAGTATTATTTTAATATAAACCCAAAATTCATTCAAACCAAACCTAACAAACTTTTTCAAAAATAACTATAGTTAAATAAAAAAATCAATCAATATTATATCCAATCACACCCTAAGTATTTCATGTGCCAGCAGCTTTCAACCTAAGACATAAATGGATTTGGAGCCTGGGGCATTCCGTTTTCATGAGTTTAGTTGAAATTTCCTAGAAGGCAACTCTTGATAATGTGGTGCTTGCTCATGAGGTTTTTCATTATCTAAATAGACACAGATCACGACAAATTACTTTATGACCCTAAAACTGGATATGATGAAATTCTACGATAGAATTAAATGGGCTAGTATTAGAAAGGTGATGGTGAAGATGGGGTTCAATTTGAGTTTTTCATTGGATAATGGATTGTATCACAACTACCTCAGTTTCATTCAAGATTAATGGCGAAGTGTGCGAATTACTTTCTCTTACCAGAGGCTTGATATATGGTGACCCCATGTCACCTTATATGTTCATATTAGTGTCTAGAGTTGTTTCCTCCTTCCTAAGATCTGGGGTTGGTTTAGGATGTCTTCAAGGGCTAACGTTGTCAGGGATGGTCCTATTTCAAGCCCGTTGGTTTAAGATGATTCTTATGTTTTTTGTAAAGTTGACACAAACCAAGCATTCATGTTGATCTATATTCTACAGAAGTACAATCTTTTTATTGGACAAAAAGTAAATATGGTTAAATCATCCATCTTCTTTAGTAGAAAAACTCCTGAGCATATTCAACTTAATATTTGTGTCCTGCTAGAAGGTATTAAAATTCAAAGACCAACAAGATACTTTGGACTGCCTGTAGAGATTGAAAGATCAAAGAAGGAAGCCTTTGGTTTTATATTGGAAGTGGTTCGGACAAGAGCGGACATCTGGAAGAATAATTTACTTCCAACTACAGGGAGGAGGTCCTCATCAAGGCAGTTCTCAATGCTCTTCTTGTGTTTGTGATGCCATGCTTCAAATTACTATTGAGAATGTGTAAGAATATTACTCAAATTTGTGCCCAGTTCTGGTGGAGCAAATGAGGAGAACAAAAAAAAGGCTTACATTGGAAATATAGGAAGGTACTGGCTTTACCAAAAGGACAAGGTGGATTTCAGGATGCGCAAGTCTTCAATGATGTTTTGGTTATGAAGGAGATGTGGAAAGTGGTGATAAAACCTTAGCTCCTCGTGAGTAAGGTCTTGAAAAATAAGTACTATCCTAATTTTACTATCTTTGAAGCAAAAAAGGGTAAAAGGGTCTCTTGGTTATGGAATAGTTGGGTCTCTTTGTTATCTCTTTTTGAAAAAGACCTAAAATTTGAAATCAGAAATGTGTTAAATACTAAAATTTGGGACTATAATTAGGTGTCTCGATTAGGTAATAGGAAACTCAAGGATAGAAATGGAAGTTGTAGTGATCTTACGTGGGTGGCTAGGCTTTTTTTATAACAATGGGATAAACTGGAATGCAGAGTTGGTTAAGAGTTTTTTTCAAGTGATGATGCTGAGGCCATACATAAAATCAAGACTCTAAACTCAGACTTAATTGATACATGGTGCTTATTTTTGGATAGGTAGGGTAAATTTTTCAGTGGTTGCTTCTTATGCTCATCTTATACTTGAGAAAGCTTGGAGGATGGATTTGGCATAGAAAGTCATTCAGCCAAGAGGGACACACAAGTTAGACTAAGGACTTGAAAGATGAGAGTGAAATATAAAATCAAACACTTCATTTGGAAGTGCTTCTCTGGTGTGCTCTCTGCAGTGTGAATGTGAGGAAGAAAGTGCTGGAGGTGGATGTGAGTTGTAAAAGTTGTGGTGAGGAAGCTGAATCAGTGGAGCATGTTTTATTCAAATGCACAAAGCTAGGAAAATATGGAAGCTTTCTCCTGTTTCATGGGAAAGGATATCCATTAGTAGCTGCATTTTTAAAGATTGGTGGCGACCATATGCTCATTGGACAAGAAGTTGATCTCTCAAGATACAACTCAATTATCCACTTACATGACGTGGTGGAATTGGAAGACACACAACTTGTGAATGTTTGAGGAGGTGTGGCTCCAAAAACACCTTACTGTGAGGTGTGCAGTTCAGGAAAGGAGGGAGTTTAATTCCATTTCTAGGAGGTTGTAGGGTGTGAGGATTCAAGCTAGATCTTAAGTCTATGGTTTGAGTTTTCTCAGTCTGGTTTTGTTTTCTTTCTTTTTTCAAATCAAAGTTGACTCCCCTTGACTATGGTAGCTGTTCGTTCCACTTTTGTCATGTTTTTCTTCTTTATTTTATGATTGTTTTTCCCCCCTTAGGTATTTTTCTTTGGTTTTTGGTCCGTTTTGAGTCGTTTCGTGCATATCCTTTGTTTTAGTCGTTTTGGTCTTTTTGTTCGTTTTTTTTTCCGGTTTTCCGTATTTCTTGTCGGTGGTGGTGTGCAGGTTAGGTAGCTCGTTGCATAGCCATGCGAGGATTACCATCTAATGGATGAGTCGGGGTCGTATTGGAGAAGACGGGATTAAATTCCGAGTCTGGATGCGAGAACACGAGCCCGAAAATGCTGTGCTGAAAAAAGTCTTCACCGCGGCAGCGGAAGAGAGGAAGTCGCGGCCGCGAGATACCCAAAAATTCCAATTTCTGGCCCGGGGAGGTCGCGGCCTCGGGGACGGTCGCGGCCGCGAGATTTTCTTCGCCGCGGCCGCGGGAGGCTAGGTCGCGGCTGCGGGGGTCGCGACGGGCAGTTTTTTATTTTGCGATCTTGTTCAGTTTTTCATTATCTTTTCACCTAGGTTTTGACCCTCTCTCGTTTTTATTCACTCCAAAACCGATATTTCTCTTAGTTTTGATTAGGATTTGATCTTGGATTGTGAAAACACCAAGATTAAGCTTTTGGATTCGGTTATTCATGTCTTCAACATTGGATTCCTTAATCGTAAGCTTTCATTTCGTTTTATTATGGATTGAATGGCTTTGGTTATTGTATTTGTTGAAGTTGAATGCATTATGAGTAGCTAAATCCTTTAGCTAGGGTTAGGGGAAGATCGTTCCGGTTTGATTTCGTTTATATGCATGATAATTGCTCAATCCTCTCGAGTTGTGCTTAGCCTAGGGTTTTGATGATTGATCACCATCTTAATCTATTTAATCGATTTTAAAACTGAAAAGGGAGAAATCGTTCGATCTAGGCTCGTTAGGAATAAGCTTGTTCGTAATAGTATTGCTTATGTGTTGATTGCTTCAAGAATTACTCATTAATGCCTATCCTCTTGTTACGAAGAGTTATTGAGGATAGACCTCTAGATGAGTAGTTTAGCGAGGCATTTAACCGAGCTCTTGATTGCTCGTTAAGTGTATTGAGAACCGGAATTGATCGACCCTGATACCCTAGCTCCTTTATCATAAATTGAGTTTGTGATTCCTAGTTTTGTCTAGCCTTTTCAATTACTTGCTTTTCAATTAGTAGACGATAGACAAACCTCCAAACTTGATTTAGAATGTTTAGGATTTTCACTTCTTTTATTTTCCATTTTTGTGTTTGAATAATCGTACAAAATAATCCGGCTGACCTTCCTCGAGAGACACGACCCGGTGTCGAATCTTTTGATTTAACTCCGGTAAAAATTATTACAACAGTAGCTTGCTTTGGTTGTATTCTAGGCCATGGCTAGGTGGTTCTTCCAATGTGCTCGGTTTGTATTTGTAGCCTTGATCCAGGTCTGTATTTGTATATTATTTTCAATTGTGTTATGCCATTTCCTATCGTTCCAACAAAAGAAAAAAAAATAAAATAAAAATCAATACATCGGACAAAAATAAATAAAAATCATTACATCAAGTAATATTAGATTAGGAAAGGAGCAAAATGAACAAAAGTAAATACATCTCTACTATTATAAAAGTACCAATGAATCTGTAAAAATATATTTTGCCTACAATACCCTTACAGTTTTCATATTTATAATGTCAAATTCGTAATTTAATAATATCTCTATACTTAATATTTATATAATGATCTAATACCTAACTAAACAGATATTCGTTCTCTGTAAAAAAACAAACAAATGCCCCTCTCTAGCGAACACACAGACTNAAAAAAAAAAAAACGTGGAAAGCCCCAAAAGATTCCACTTCTTAGATCTCAGAATACGATATACAAATAACAATCACTGGACTCACGGAAATTGGCCGTTCAAAGGCTTACCGCGGTGGTCCTCTTTCGCAAAATCTCCTGGTAATGGGTTTTTCCTCTTTCCTTTTTCGAGTTGTAATGGGGTTTTTAATTAGTAAATTCATGCTTTGATGTTAAATACAGTGAAGGACTGAATCATACTGCTATCCAAATATGAAATAAATTCGTTTCATATTATCAATAACCATGAATTTTGTTAATTGAGTGTGTTTTTTTGCTATTGAATTTGTTATGATATGGTTTGTTTTTGGTTTATTCTTTTGACTCTTTTTGCTATTTGTTACAAGCTTACACCTCAGATTTATCTAATTATAAACAATAAATAAATTGACAGTAAGTCTCTATTATTGAATGGTCTACCTGCACAAGATGAAAGCACACTGCAGGCTTCAATTACAATTCAATAGAAATAAATAATCATATATTTATTTTTTACCAACACTAATTGATAAAGCATATATGCATATTTATGGTTATTCAGTCCAATATTTTATTCGAATAAATAAAATTAGATATTTTCAAGAACTACCCCTTAAGTTCACCTGAAAAATGAACTTCCATTAACCTTGCAATATGTGAAACATTCAGCAAATTTTGAGAAAAAAAGAAGAAGATAAAATATGATATTTGGGACATTACATAAAAAATTTTAATTTTTTTCTTAAGTTCTTGCTACTCGAGCGTTTCGACACCATGACCTCCCCGTTGTCACCGAAGCTGCCGCAGAAAAGAGGAGCTTGAGTGGCATTGTCCTCCCTTTGTTGGACGCTTGTTTAGTTCCACCACTAAATGACTATAAGATACTGATAAGGTAGCCCACCGCCCACCAGTAGGGACTACGTTTGGCGAAGCAATGTGAACCATACGCATCTTGCAGAGGTTAAAGGAGGGCAAAATTGGGTGAATCAGAAGGATAAGCTATGGTGGTTTCCTGGTGGAGGTACTCATTTCAAGCATGGAGCTCCTGAGTATATTGAGAGGTACTTATGTTTTTCAAAAGTTTGGTTGTTTTTTTGGGTCTTCAAAGTTTTGTTGCTTACTTTGGAATGTATGAGATGATGATGTATTGTTTATTACATTTTATGTAGGATTATACCATATTAATTGATGCTCATGATTTTTTCGTCAATGCTACGTAACAATCATAAAAGTTCTCATATAATGTCTTTGATTATGGCAAAAGGTAATTAAGCACAGGGATCTTATTTGACTTGATTCAATAGTTTATCTTAAGAATGTAGGTTAAGTTGGAATGTTCAGAGGACTTTTATGCATAAGCTCGTGGAAATTATATGCTTGTAAACTGTAAATGAACATTCAAGAATTTATTGCTTGTGGCTCAAAGCAAATTTTTAGTAAATGGACCTCAAAAAGAGTTGGTGTAAAAAATTGTTCACTGCTACAAAACAATAATGATAACTCTTAAATATTTAGGATATTATAAAACCGGAAATAAAAATTTTGTCACATGTATGTGATTGTGTGTGTGTGTGTGGATGTGTTTCTTGTAAGTTAATGGTCCTTTTTTACTTCCAAGTGCATGGATGTGTTTCACTGGTTAGTTTCTATAGCTGACTTTGAATCTAATTTCCGCAGGTTAGGGAATATGACAACTAATTCGACCGGCGATCATCGTGATGCAGGCATATTTCAAGTTCCCCTGTCTTGGTGGAGTTGGCCGCGTACGATTTGAGCGTGTAGCTATGATGTTGTTGAGGGATTGGGCTGATTTCATTTATTGAGTATTGGGCTTTGAGGTGTAGAGTTCAAACGAGAGTAATACCATTGAAATATTCGTTAAATTTTCGTTGAAATTTTTAAAGAAATTTCATTCTTTTCTTGCAGTGAAAATAGGGCTCCAAATCAATAAAAAAATTTGCATTATATATGATATTATGCAAAAATAAGTATAAAGAAAATTGTTGATAATGATAAAAATATAACACTCAAAGTAATTATCATTTAATTTATGATAATTAGTATTTTTTAAAAAACAACACATATACATCTCGGGTGAAAAGTCTTTAATTATTTTATTAGTATTATAATAACTAAACAAGCGGTAAGAATGATATTTAACGTAATAAAAAGGTAAGACTAAACAATGAGAAAGTTTATATCTCGGGATTAATACGAAGGTAAAAAAAGTGATAAAATTAATTAATATCATATATCAGTTGGAGCTCGCTGATGAGAAATACAAAACATACATAAGATGCACATTTATTTAACAAGAACTCCTAAGTACATAAAAATACATATATTTTTTGCATTGAAAATGGGCATGTGTCATATATATTTTCATAAATTATAAATGTTAAATCAATTTTATTAAGTATAAAATAACATAAGATAAACATGTGAGTTGTATGTTAAACTATTATTCAATCTGTATGAAAGAGAATACCATAATAGTTGTAACATATATTTTCAGTGAATATAAAAATGAGTTATTTACTTAATATTATATCAAACAATAGAAAAAAATCACAAACTTTTTAATCTTACAAACAGTGTAAAAGTACATTTTTATCAAATATATCATTATTATTATAAATAAATAAATAAGTAATATTAAATAGTATTCATCATATGTGATTATATTAGTTGTAGACTAATAAATGGAATATTTTTATGACAACTTCAGTATATAAAATACGTACAAAAAAATAACACAATACATATGACGTAATCTAATTCTTTTAACAAATAAAATATTATTGGTGAATAGAATAAGAAACAAATGAAACAATAGTAATGCAATATGGAAAATAAAAAGTCTGAATTTTCTTAGAGAAATGTGAATACCAATATCTAGAAGCAAAAGTCTTTTAAATTACTATTTTTTGTTGCAAGCGTTTAAATATATGGGCTCTATAAGAAAATTAGTTCTCATAAATAATAATCATATATTTTTATTTTTAAACTTTAAATAATTAAAAAATAAAAACATTGTAATTCAATAATGTAGATTTTGATAATGACTTCGTTACATATAAGTAACAATATCATAATATAATATAATTGTTATTCTTCTCATCTCAAATATTTTAGAAAATGATATGTTTCTTAATATTGTTTCATTGTTTTGTTTTATTATTGTTGAAGAGTCAAGAAACGATCTTTATATTATATTTTTGAACCATTATGTATGATGCAAAAACTTGGACAATAAAAGCATTAAAACGTTATTAGACACATAAATATTGTAAATCCGAACGAATGTGAAATATATTATGATAAAAAAAATGTAAAATCATTGCAACAATTAAGATAGTCAATGATTTGCAAATAATAGATTATACAGTTCGTCTATCTTCTAAATAAATAATATTGGAAAGGGAATGTCGGAGTCTGATCAAAACATTTTTGAATGTTTGAATGAATTTGTCACTTTTTGATAGGAATATTTACAATCTCATTGGTATGTTGTGCTCGAACATATGTGCAATTACTTTAGATAATGTACTTTCATGTAATTTGATTATTTAAAAATATAATTTAACGCCTTGAGAGAAATACATGAAACCAAGATTTTGGAAAGTCCAACATTTCTTTAGAGATGAAATTCATTCTCATCCTGTAGGGCTATGCCTTCATGTGGTAGATACCAATTTATCTATATGGAAGATAATAATGAAATAGTTTATAATAGAGAGCATAAAAAAAAAACCATAGGCTATTATGAAACAATCCACTACCAAAGCTTCGGGGTTAACTTTGTCAATCCGTAATTTTAAATAAAATAGGCGTTTTGCTAAATGAATTAACAAAAGTTTTTGCAATACTATTGATGTATTGAGCTCCAATCAGTATGATTTTTTCTTATGAAAATGTCAAAACCTGACTGAAAACTGCGTTTGAATCATCTAACATAAATAAATAAAAGAACTAATGCATCTATAATATACGTTAGGTCCTTGTTTTGTTATTTAGTTTTTTCCCACTTTGATGACTCATTTTTTATATATTTATGTTGGGGTTGTAATATGTTATTTTTATTTTTTCAATATTAGGACATCATTATGTTATTTTTGAAAAAAAAATCATTACAAGCTCTTTCGTTCTACATTTTATTTCATTTCTGCAATGATATTTTTCATAAATTATTCAATTTATTTTATTAAATTTAAGTGGCAAAATACATTTACCATCACGTGCGATGCACGTGCAATTTACAAGTATTTCAAAACGTACAAATAAATAAATTTATTTTAATGATCAAACTCCCTAAAAAAAAAAACTATTTATACCAATTAAACTAAAATTACAATACACAAAATTATATAATGTTTATCATCTAAAACGTTGAAGTCCACTCAAGCTCAACACAATTTGAAGTTATGAAATTAATATAGAGATTATAGAAAAAGGAGAACTTTCACTATAATTTTACAACAATAGGCCTGTGGTTCTTCGAATTTACAACAACAAAGCAAAACCAAACCACTTCCGTACGAATTCCTATCCTTTTGAATTTTGAAATAATCAACTCAGCTAACCCCTAAACAAACAAATAATTTCAAATCAGAAAATCCTAGATCCATAGTCCCTTCGTGTTATTCTGGGTTTCTTCAAACCTTGACGAGCTTCTCAGCTCGAACCACGGGATTTTCCCTCGCGATAACCTCTCGACCCGCCGCCTTGTAATCGTAGCTGCAGTCGTGCCGATCGGAGTATCTGTGCTCCGAGCAGAACACGTCCCCGCACCTGCACCGGAATCCAACCAGCCCGATCCGCTTCCGGCATCCAGACACGGAGCACCAGGTCCCATCCCTAGGTCTCTTCAGATCCCGCCGCTTCTCCGACGGAGGGATCAGATCTGGGTTTTCCGGTGAGCCGGCGGAACTGGTTCGAGGTGGATCTGTGATGTCCGGCGCTCTTGCGAGAGGGGTACGCGGCGGAGATGAGATCGTCTGCGGCGGTGTGCATATGGGCAAGTTTTCTGGGACCTTGACCTCGGTTTCTTCTTTTTCTCTATTTTGCGCCATACTTGTTTTTTGTTTTAATTATTATTATTATTTTTTTTCCTTTAGAGGTTGGAGAAAAAGCGAGCGAAGAATGGAAGGGAGAAGATGGAGACGAAAATGGGAAAATGACAAATTTGGGGGCCTGCGAGTTATAATTAGGATGCATATATGTGGGGCGAGTTAATATTATTGTAGGTGTATGGGTGAAAATAGAATATTCAATAATGTAAAAGGGCCCAACTTTGAATGATGATGGTACTATAATGACGGAAGTGTCCTTCGGATAACTTTTTTGAGTGGTGGTATATATATACACACACATAGAATGGATAATGATGATGGTACTATAATGACGGAAGTGTCCTTCGGATAACTTTTTTGAGTGGTGGTATATATATATACACACACATAGAATGGATCATGTGAGGAATGAAGATAGTGAAAGAAATAAAAATGATTGTGGACTTTTAAATCCAATATATTTATAGCATATTTATGATCTTGATGAAGTCAAAATTAGTAATTAAAGTCAAAATCTAGATGGTATTTTTGTAATTATGTGATCATATATTAGTAAAAAATATATCCATGAGGGTAATAGTGTAATTTATATGTCACATCATAATTAGATCACACATACCAATCCCTCACCTACCTACTCTATTTCTCTCTCAGGGCCTCTTCAATGCAGCGCCACAATCTTGTATTTGCGCTAGAATTGTAATGAATTTCTCTCCAGTGCCACGCTAGAAATTAACGTCACTTTACATATATCAACAGGGTTGCGCCAGATGTGGCGCAACACTGTATGTGTATTAGTAAATGTATTTATTATGTTAAATAACTTTGTGCCTTTTATTTATTGATGTATTAGAATTTTATTTTACCAATTTTATTAATATCATAGTACCCTACAAATAAAAATTTTCCACAATAAAACAAAAACAAGTAAATTTTATTGAACGCAAATGTGTACAATACACATAATCACAAATTACTCCAAAATACAAAAACAACATAATTAAATTTCCGATGATTTAATAATCTACAGACATAGATATAGCAATTTATTTGAAATAAAAATGAATAAAAAATAATATATTTGATGTAGAGTAAAATGTAAAGATAAGGACTGGGGACGAATGTTTCACTCTAGTCTAGAGTAGAGTAAAGTCCGCGCTAGAGTAGAGATAAGGACTGGAGATGGCCTCATACCACACACGTATCGATTCTCTCCTCCAATTCTCTTTCTCTCTCACAAATACACAAACAATCATATTCACGCATACACACATATCACACACACACACACACACACACACACACACACACACACACACACAGCGGTCCGCTGCCAGCCGCCAGAAAGCTACCGCCGAAATACCGGCGACGTGGTTCGTCGCCGTCGCCGCCGTCTGTAAGGAGCTCCGGACACAGCCCACCGATCACCTACACACACACAGCAGTCCGCCGCCTGCCACCACATCCGGCCACAGCGCCACCAGAACGCTGTCACTGGACCACCGACCACTTGGTTCGTTGCCGCTGGAGACGTCCGTAGCTAGCCACTGCCCCAAGCTTCACGCCGGCCTCCACTAGCAACCACCAAATCGCTGCCGGAAAAACTAGACGACTCCGTCGCCGCCATCAGCTGCGCCACTGTGCTCGACGTCGCTGGAAATCTGAAGAGATCGGACAAAGCTCTGAAAGATGGTTGTGGCGGCATCTTCGAGGGCGGCGGTGATGGTGGTGCGGCTGTGGATGGACGATCGTCGGTCTGTTGGGGGTGGTTGGTCGCCGGCAGAAGAGGGGTGCGGTAGGGAGGTGGCTGGGAGATTTGGACTTGCATTTGTGAATTTGATATGGTAGAAGGACTTAATAGCAATTTTATAACTTTTGTATATTACAATTGAGTTAAAGGGTCAAGTCTATAATTAATTGAAACCTAATTAGTACCTCCTATTTTTTTTTTTTTTAAATTTCATTTTGGCTTTATCAACAATTAACCAAATAAATGACGTTTTGGATCTTTTGTACATATTTTTCCATTATTACCCTCATCTAGCTAATAAATACACTACGTATTTTCACATTCGCTCCTCATATTTTTTCAAAACATTCATCTCCATCCTCATTAATGAGGATTATTATTGGCGAAAAAAAAAGATTCTTAATTACTGTGCAACTTCTCAAAACGAAACTTATTAAAAATAGGAGGGAGTAATATTTTACTATTTTTATTCTGAAAATAAATAACTTTTTTACTAAAACTATATATTATAATAATATTAATTTTATATAATTCGATTATTTCTGTTTAAAAAATAATAATAAAATAAATACGACATTAGATTCAAAACAATCAAATTATTTTTATATAACTTGGTTCGGTTATTTTGGTTAAAAAAATATAAAAATAAATACGACATCAAATTAAAATAATCGATTTTTTGAATTACCTTAAATAACCAAAATTATTTATTATTTTATTAAATATATATTTAATATCCTTATAATTGTATTTAATAATTTCATATTATTATATTATTACACTATATACCCCTAATGTGCAATCCAAAAGTCATTAATGTGCAATTCATACAACCCTAATGTGCTCACGCAATACATAACCATTTAAAAAATAATAATAATATTTTTCCTATTGTTCAGTCAGTTCAGTTAGTTTTGTCATTTTTTAAAATTGAAGCCGACATCGAACTCGAAACAATCGTGATTTGAAAGTATAAACAAATAATCGAACCGAAATGTGCAACCCAATAGTCATAAAAGTGAAATTCATATAACAATAATGTGCATCTGATTGCAAGCATTTTTAATAGTATGATCCACACCGAACTAAATCCGATTTAATTGGTCGATTTATTCGATGGATTAACCGAATTAATCTAAATAAGATATATGATTTATTATTTATATTATAAAATTATATTTATTTTTCAACATATATATTTAATGTTTTATTTTTTGTTTTGGCATCAATTGTGGAGTGTGGTGATACAGTGCAACGCATATTTTATAAATTGCAACGTATTGTTATACAAAGTGCACTGTAATGATATATAAAGTTCACTACTTTATATGATCACATATAAATTATTTGTTTCTTAAACTAGATTTAATAGATATAATTGTAAATCGAATTAACCTAAATAATTGAAATAATTTATTAATAATATGATAAAAATATAGTTATTATATCAATAATTTTTATATTATAAAAATTTATTTTATTTATTATTATAAAAAGTATAATTTATTGTTGATTATAAAAATATCGGACTGACATATAAAAATATAGAATCGAAAATTTTAGTTTTGTTGAGTTTAGTCGATCTTGTGCATCCCGACAGTCACTACATTTGTTACGCTAAATAATCGGGCCGACATATAAATATCTCAAACTGAAAAAATATATTTCGATTTGTACATTTATTACGATACTGTACAATCTCACGGCACAAAAGTGCAATATGACAATCATTAATGTGCAATTTATCAATCACTACTGTGCAATGTTTTAGTCACTAATGAGGAGTGTGAATGAACCGAACTTTTTCTCCCAACCCTATTGAAGCCTAAAACTAATGTTTATTTCAATTTTAATTTTTTTTAATAATATTTATTTCAATTAACATTATTGTGCGATTATCAAATTATTTATATAATAAAAATATATTTACTATTTATATTTTTTATTCAATATTTTATTTTATTTCTTATCCAAATAAATAATATATATATATATTTATATACCTATATATATATATATATACAACTACAATATATAAATAATATTACATATGATATTTTAAATTAAATTTCCTTTAGAAGACATATTTAAGTCTTGAAACCCACCAACCCACCAACATCTATTAAATTGTAATATTTAATACATGTAGTGTGATTTAATTTTTTCACATTGCAAACAAGTCCTTTTAAATTGTCTAATTTACGAAAAAAATTCCCTCTCTCTAAATTATTTTCACGTGCTCCTTCATATTCTGAATTTTAGAGTATGTTTATATACTTTTCGGACATCGTGCAATCTGGATATCGACGAAGGATGGCAGTTGACGACGACGGAAGTCTGAGTCGAGATGGGCGACGATGGTGGAGCACCCCGTTCGTTTGATAATACTTTCTCTCCGGACGGCGGCGACTCTCGGATGGTGAGAACATGGTGGTGGCGTACAACTACGACGAAGGGGTGGCCACCGTGTGGAACTCTGTTAAAATGGTGCGTCTGTGTGTGTTGCAGGTTCGGCGGGTGGTGGCCGCCTGAAATCTTAGAGCTTCTGTCGGAGTTGAGGGGCGGCGCTGTGTTCTCAGGGAGGCCGCCGTGATGAACTCGAAGAACATGGCGTGTGAGTTTGTGGGTTCAACGGATTATGGTAGCTGAAATTTCAGGGAGTTTTGCAGACTTGAGCGGCGGCGCTGAGTTTCAGGTGGCGGCGATCGGCGCCGGAGAACGGGCCGACCGCCATGTGTAACTAGGAGAACATGGTGTGTGTGTGTGTGCTGCTGGATGGTGAGCTTTGTTAATTTCTGTCGGCGGTGGCGGCGTTGGCCAGCGACGGTGCCGGTGAGATATGCTTTCATGGTCGCAATTTTTTCTTTTTGTTTTCTCGGTCGCAGCAGCATGTGTTTGTATGTGTGTGTGTGAGAGAGAGAGAGAGAGAGAGAGAGAGAGAGAGAGAGAGAGAGAGAGAGAGAGAGAGAGAGAGAGA